GTTGTTATGTGTTGCTTTAATGTACTACATTGCCCATAATGCACCAGGCAAGAGGTTACCTGGGAGACCATGTATTAAGATTGGAGTTGGTCAGTAAAGTTTCAGCATAAACCCACGCAGACCGGTGTCTTTTCATTAATGCACTAACATAACAGTTAGTTCATCCACTGACTGGGAAATGACCAGTGGAACGTCTTCCTGCAGACAGATGCTGCTCAGGGAGGCATTTTGACTCTGCATCTCTGTGGGAGTGGGGAGTACCAAGATGGCGGCCGGTGGCTTCACTTTTTTAAGGTCCATCAGCAATCCAGTGAATAAATAGAGATCAGTGTTTAGACGCTGGTCCTCTTAATCAGGTGTGCAGCAACAGGCATCACCCAACACCCAGCAAAGATCCTCTCTGAGACAGGAAGCTCACTCACACCAGAAACACAACATTAAATAATAAACGTTGCAGTAAAAACAGTTTTTGCTTCTTTAAACAGTGTGGTGAGGGGAAAAAAAATCCAGTAGAAACCCTCCATGATATTTTATTTACTTTCTAAAAGTATTCACTCACAGCTGCACTGTGTCTGAGGGAGAGGAGATGGTTTTATCAGGGATTGTTTGGAAAAGAAAATAATCATTCTAATAACCAGACAGACTCCTTCTCAGGGTTTATTCTTAACATTTATCTGTTTTTATTTGTCTGTATCTGTTTTGACTGACTGCACATGGCGTCCTTCTCCACTTCCCTGCAGGCTTTAGTTTAGTGAGATAACCTTGGTCTAAAATAATGAAGTACGGACTGAGTGAATGAAATCAATCTTTTATTTAAGTGGATTAAATAGTAGAATGCTTTTTTCCCAAGACAACAGTAATTCTTGTTCAAACTTTGTTAATCTTTCCTAACATTTAACCTGCTTTGTGAGGCCAGTAGAGGCTGGGATCTAGCTGCTGTTATTCAAGCATTGGACAATTATAATTTCTGATGTTTAATCATCTTTACTTTGTGCTTCTGCAAAGCTATAAACAGTATGCTCCAGAACATTATGCTGTTTTTAAACTAGTAAAAGGTGTTGTGTTTATGGTATTTATACGGTTAAACTGAATTAAAAAATGGATAAAATATAGTAATAACTTAACATGTAAAATATAATTTGAAACATTTCTGACTGTCTTTTCTAAAGACTGTTTAAGTTTTATGGTTCAAGAGTTTTAATTTCTTCTATAAAAATCTGTATTTTAGGAGAATTCGGAGTCTAAAACCAAGAAGCGCACATCTGACAACATGAGTGAGTATACGTTACCCTGCAGTCAGTCAGTCCATAGATCAATCAATCAACTAATCAACTAATCAACCAATCAATCAATCAATCAATCAATCAAATATTTATTTTATAAAACTTTGTTGCACAAAACTGATAAACAAAAATATGATGCTCATAATGGTGGAAAAAAAAAGAAAACAAGAATTGTCAAAAAATGCATTTTAGGATAACAATAAACTTTTGGTATAAAAACCCAAAAATAAACACAGTAGGAGACATAAATGGAAATGTGGAGCATGGTGTGCCTGGCTCTGAATGTGTGTTGTGGAGGTGGAGATTCATATGGGGGTGGGTGTGTGCATCATGGAGGTATGTGTATAGGTGCGTACTCACCTGTCTCACTGAGTAGAGAGTAAAGGTGGAGCTGCTGTGGGTTTGTTTGATCGCTTCAATCTACGCTTCGTTTCATTTGGTTTTTCAGTATTCGTTTGTTTTCCGATATTAATGGACTGATCTCACTTTGTTTGCTGCGCCGTCATAACTCCTGCTGCTGCTAATAAACCAAAGAAAAGCATCCTGGATTCCAGCGTATCTCTAACAATAACCTATAATGAGCGTCACAAATAGGGCAACAAACGAGGACCCGACCCACCTCTCAGCAGCTGAAAGGATCTGTTTGGAAGCCAAATCAGCAAAAAAAAAGGTTAAGAAATTAATAGATAAAATGATACTAAAGGTAAATATTTCTATGCAATAACTCCAAAATCCTCTTCACATTTGAAGTAGCATTTCGATTAGATTGCAATAGTTAAACCCTGTGCTGTATGATTTTGTTAACAGTAAAACTGTCAGATATTCGACTATCAATGTCATCGACATAGTTTAATATGTGGTTGATGGTTATTTTTGGGATGTTCTCAGTTTTAAGGGACAACCGATTTTTAACGTCTCTCCATAATTTAAAAGAAAAAGGACAGAAAGAAAGAGATGATTAAGGGATTCTTCTGGACAGTCAATAAAATTTTCATCCGTTGTGCAAAAATTCAGCCTCTGGGTAAATATTGTGAACGATTTTGAAATGAGTCTCTGTAACTTTAGGGGAAACCATCCATGTTGCATACTTGGAGAACGCCTTCGCAATTATAGACAAGTTTGTTGTTGCCAAGATATTATTTGTTAGGTTAAAAAAATTGTGAGTTCATATAGGACAAAAAATTAATCTGACACACAAAGGGATTTCAATCTGAAAAACTCACAGAGAGAGAAAGATGCAATTAGAAGAGTTTATTGATACAATAGTTTCAACTCTGGCGCTCAGGCCTCG